TTCAAAATTAAGCACACAGTTTCCAAAATTTACATTTTAGTCACTGATCCGGCTTTTGGGGATGTTACACATGATATTTAAACAGTGAAAACAAAGACAAATATATTTCAAACTTGCATTGAATTCACCCAAGTCATTATTCCATCATAGTTCACAAAATGCATTAGATAACAAAGACAAATATGTTTCAAACTTGCAACACTGTCAACTTAGTATTTGTCTTTGTCTATTGGTTGAAGTAATGCAATTCATTCAAGTTTCAATTTTGCAGAAGAAGAATAGTTTCTGGAACTTAAAATCGCAACGTGAAAAATGACTATCGCAACGCGAAATGAATCGCAACGAGAGAATCACAACGCGAAATGAAAATCGCAACGAGAGAATCGCAACGCGAAATGAAAATCGCAACGAGAGAATCGCAATGCGAAATGAAAATCGCAACGCGATTATAGTTTCGCGTTGCGATTTTTGGTTTCGCGTTGTGATTTTGTCGTTGCGATTTTCATTTCGCGTTGTGATTCTCTCGTTGCGATTTTTATTTCGCGTTGCGATAGTCATTTTTCACGTTGCGATTTTAAGTTTCGTGTTGCGAAAGTAAACTATTTCTTCTTCTTCTGCAAATTGAAACTTGAATGGATTGCATTACTTCAACCAAAAGACAAAACAAAGACAAATACTAACTTTAGAGTATTAAAGAATACACAGTTTAGCAGAATTGGCAGCAACCGAACAAATTTACTTTCAACCAAAAGACAAAACAAAGACAAATACTAACTTCACAGTGTTAAAGAATACACAGTTTAGCAGAATTGGCAGCAACCGAATAAATTTACTTCAACCAAAAGACAAAACAAAAGACAAATACTAACTTCACAGTGTTAAAAGAATAAATAGTTTAGCAGTATTGACAGTAACCGAATAAATTTACTAAGCAATCTAAGTGAAATGGTTAATCTAAGTGAAATTACGAGTAAATTTATCATCAAGTTAAATATGGAAAATCTTAAACTTACCTCGTTGCGTAGAGTATGAACCTCATTCTGTAACGATACTACCATCTCACATAGAGCGATAACCTCACCACGTAAAGTAGACACCTCCACACGCCATGCACCATCGTTATCACGTAGAGTACCGATCTCCTCACGCAAGGCATTGACCTCATCACGTAACTCCCTTGACTCATTCCGTGGAGGTGGAGAACAGGGAGATAGAAGTCGTGGCATCTTTGTCGGTCGCCTATCATGAGGTGATGGTGGAGAAGAGGCTCGATGATGTGACGGGATAGGTGATGGCTCTCGTTGTAGAGGTGTATAGTCGGGTCGATCAGGTAATGGCTCTGGGTGAGGTGATGGCTCTCGAAGTGGAGGAAGTGGAGGCTGCTCATCATTCGTGCCATCAAGAAAACGCTGACTAGCTTGCCACCAATCAGTGGCAAGCTCAGCCTCTGTGGGTATCAGTTTCTGTAATGGAGTGTTGGCCTCCTAAAAATATAAAAACTCAAACAAAGTTAAACGTCTACTATTAATAACTTGTTTATATATGATAGTATTTGTGTTAACTTACATTATTTATTGTCGTATATGGTATTAAGTCTTCCCAATCCAACAGACGTTTCCTCTTCCAGGAAATAGCCCTAGGAATATCATTTGAAGTTTTTAATGCATATGTCCGCATGCTGGGGAAAGCCTCGAATATCCAAATCTACAAACAATATAATAACAAACATTAGTAATTGTTAAATAATTAATTATAATTTTGAAAACATTATATAGAAATTCTTACCTTAAAGGCCCAAACAAAGCCTGACAAAGTGTATTTCGATCCATCGCCACGCAAACTTTTGCGGTCATCAAAGGCAGACGACAACTTAGTCCAGGTAGCTTTCCATATATACGAACCACATGGAAACAGATTCCATGCATTTAGGTCCTCTACCAATAATATTAGCTCCTGAGGAATAGGTTATCTAGCCTCTCTGCCTAAAAAGTCGGCATACAAAAGTACTAGAAGGCATACTCGGACAACATCGACGTCATTCATCCGAGTAAAACCATCTTTCTTATTAAACAATTTCTTCAGGTCGTCGACGTGTAAGTTCGGCTTCTCTATTGACTCGTCAGGAAAAACCCTGGATAACCATGACGGGCGGGTGATATGACGAGTGTACCGGCCTACATCATCGTGTCTGAATCGTAGACCAGTGATTACGCAGAACTCCTTCCGCCCAAAACAAGTATACGCCGGTGGAAAATGAAACCATATCTCTTCCTCACCACGTTGTATACTGTCGGGTAGATCGCTAGTCATAGTCTGAAGCCATAAATGGGTCAAATTAGCATCTCCACCCGTATGTTGTACTCTCAACCATGGCCCGAAGCAGGTTTCCTCAAACAATTTTCTTTGTGCAGGTGAAAGCTTCGAAGCAATTGTAGTGGCTAGGCTAACTTTATTCCTTAATGTCAATGAAGCCGAAAAAAATTTCTACAAAAACAATAAACAACCAAGTTAGATATACCAAAAACTACACTGTGAAGATATACCAAAAACAATAAACATAAAGAGTAGTAGTTTATTCTTGAAACTAAAATTTGCAACATTGTTTTATCTTTTGGTTGAAATGAAAATCGCAACGAGAGAATGAAAATCGCAACGCGGAAATGACTATCGCAACGAGAGAATCGTAACGCGAAATGAAAATCGCAACGCGAAATGAAAATCGCAACGCGAAATGAAAATCGCAATGCGATTTTGGTTTCGCGTTGCGATTTTCATTTCTCTCGTTGTGATAGTCATTTTCGTGTTGCGATTTTCATTTTCATGTTGCGATTTTAAGTTTAGAAACTATTCTTCTTCTGCATTTCAACCAAAAGACAAAACAAAGACAAATACTAACTTCACAGGGTTAAAGACTAAACAGATTAGCAGTATTGGCAGCAATCGAATGAATTTAATAAGAAATCTAAGTGAAATGGTTAATCTACTATTGAAATTACCAGTAAACGTATCATCAATTTCAATATGAAAAACCTAAAATAATGCAAATATTTCAAAATAAAAATAATTAAAAAAACTAACCCTCGGAGGTTGATTTTCCATTTCTGAATGATTGTGAGGGATTTCTGACCGTGAATAGTTGTGAGGGATTTCGCCGGCGATGGGGACGGAAATCTTCGGAGATGGGGACGGATTTCGCCGTAGAGAGTGAGAGATGGAGATGAGACTGAGTTGTGATTTTAGGTTTTAGGTTATGAGTTACGATTACGGGATATACTGTGGACGGTTCAGTTTCCGATATATTAATATATTCGTGTTTGGAATTTGAAAAAAAAATACGCGTTAATACGAATGGCGCTATGTAAATCGCGTTGCGATTTACGTATTCGCATTGCGAATTAGGAAAATCGCAACGCGAATTTGGGAAATCGCAATGCGATAGTCAGAATCGCATTGCGAATCTGGAAACTGATTTGCGATACCGGAGATCGCGTTGCGAATTATCGATCGCATTGCGATTTAGTTGGTCATTTTGGCAAATCCAAAAAAAGTTGGTTAAAATCATATATTATAAGGCATTTTTGGTCACTAAGATTATTTTCTCTTCAAATTTTGTTACGTAAATTATATTATCAAGTTCAGAACTTATTTTTAACAATTACAAATTTTTTAATACTTATATTTTTTTTCCATATTAAATCTTTTATCAAGTACATCTAAATATAGTTTTTTAAAATACATTCATTAAGTAATTTAAGACAAGGTTAATGCACGTGTATTGATGTCGTCATCCGACTCATACTCATGCAAATACATGTCTTCGAGACGTATTATGTGTATTTATTCTTTTTGTACAAAATTCATATTATTTTTTCTTTCTTTTATTCTAATTCAATCTTTAAAAGTTTTAATTGACTTCTATCACAATAATAGAAGACGCTTCCTACTAAAAGCGCTTGTGAATTGAGAAAGTAATCTATAACATGTTTTAAATTAAATACAGATTTTATAAAGGTGATATTTGGGTAGAAACACCTAATTACAAGGTCGAACGAAATGAGGAAAATGAAATATAAGAACTAGAGAATTTATTTTAGGGGTTTATTTTATATAAAAACTAGCTTTTTAAAAAATATTTTGACGTTTTAAAATTTTAAATAATTTTTATGTGTTTTTGAATTTTTATGATTTATTTCTTCTTAATCTTTAATATTTCTTTGAATTTTATAACTGTATTTGTTTTAGAATGAGATTAAATTGATAATTTTTTAAAATGTGAATAATTGAATTTATTGATTTATTTAAAATTAAGATCAAATCGATATAATATATATTGTGGACTAAATATATCATTATACTAGTTTAAAAATTCATGTCATCATTAAAGATTTAATATAGATTGACCAAAGTAGCAAATACCATATATCATTAGTGACCAAACAGAGAAATTATGAAATCGAATAACCAAAATAGAAACAAACATATAATTGAGAGACCATCCAGATTATTTATCCACAAACTTTTTGATTTGTTAAAGATGTGAAATAAGCTAAAAATCGATCCAGATTAATCAAGACGAAATCTTACAATTGAGAGAGAAAAAAGAATGTGATATAAGCCAAAAATCAACAAGGTCAAAAATAAATTGATGAACAAAGCCAAGTTGGTCCAATAAAAACATTAAATACCAATTTGGTTAAAGTTTGTTTAGGTACCAAAAATCAACAATCTCATCACCAATTAAATCTATTATTTAACAGTTGGATCTATCCACTTGTCAACCCATCAATAGCCATCAACACTACGACCAACACACCACCATACTGCCTGGTGCCAGGGACATATATACTCGCACAAGTAAGGTTGAAGGAGAGGATCTTCAACCCCACACTGACTGTTCATCATCTTATCCAATCCTTTTCTCTACTTTTTCCAAACCACAACCAACTGCGACTCTCTGCCCAAACCAAAGAGGGCAAACCACCTAAGACCACCACCTTCCTACTTAGACCATCAACAAAGACTCGATATTAATTGCATCTCCAAAGTTCAGTTAACAAATTCTAATAAACTAATTAATTTACTACATCAATGCGTTGATTGGTTCATACAAAAATGATCCCATTCTCCTTTATGCTGTCTAGAACTATTCCTAGCTTACCTTCAATCCTCTCACCCTTTCTAGGCTCATAAGACATCGCGTAGACATCAGCTTCTTTTGATCGTTCAGCTATCAGTTTCCCGATTATTCTGCAAGCGTTGTGATCAGTGAGTGATGGCAAATCGTTTCTAAGATCCTTGGCATTTGTGGTTGCGACCGATATAACTTTGCTTGTACCCCGATGCATCACTTTGGCATGAATAAATTTCTTTGAAAAGAAAACATTTAGTAGGAATGGCCTCATATACATATCGGTCCTTTGTTTCCATGATTTCCTATTGGGTTGCTTTGCAAGTTCGCCACGTGATCTCCTGGTCCAGGCAGCTTGAACAAAATAACCCTAAAGATGAATGTCAAACAAAATTAATAAGTGCAAGAGGGAAATCATAACTCACTATCCATATAACAAATCAAACCAAAGACCTCTTCAACTATTCAACATGAAAGCTAAAATTTCATCAATTAGGGATCCCTAAAGTATTAAAAGGTCTACAAAGAGTGACTAAAATTATCTCATTAAGATGCATTCTGCTTTACCCGGAGGACAAACTGTGCATATGAGCTCATGATTTCACATATTTTGATCACTGATCATACTATGATGAACCCCAACCACATGGAACATCTAGAAAAATGATGAGAGGATATTTTGATCATATATATAAGGAAATTTGATTTTGCTAGTATAAGTTAGCAATTGACTGTTAATCCCCCCACCCCCTTGTGGACAAGCTAGCAAACAATGAAACAAACCACAAGGCAAGATGTCAATCCCATCTCGACCACCAAAACAGAAGCACCATGAATTATTTTACTCCAGAGAATGAAGGTTAAGATTTTATGATATTTTCATCAGAAACAGAATGTAATATTTCTTAGAGATAAATCCCCACAATGCAAAAAAGCTGTTTAAACTCTTCGATGCGTAGGCATATTCGATTCAAACAATAATGTTCCGATTTCTAAATTATGAAATTTTAGTTGGCATAGTATATATATATCTTCTTTCTTTATGGAAAAGAGATCATTCCTTCCAAATCGTTAAACTCTTACAAAGTTCATCAACATAATTGAGTTTCAATTAGAAGAGTACATCAACAAAAGGGCAATGCCAGCAAGAAAACTGGAATTAGTAAACAAAAAAAGGACAGTCATGGAGGCAACATTTAATTAAAATTTTCGACAAATCAAAATACAAATTTACTATGTCAGCTCAGGAAAAATTTAGCGAAGTAGCAGTTTGCAGAGTCTAGAACACGTAATATCACCATATTCAACTGCTAATCACTCTGAGTTCTACAGATTCCTCGGTTGCTGCACAGAGAATTATGACCTATTATAATACTCATTACAATTAAAGATAAGATATTGAGAAACACTTTTACTTTCTTTCAAATTGTTTCCCGTAGCGCTGATTCCTCTATGGAAAACCCCAATCTTTCCCTCAAGTAAACAATGAAAGTCAATCTCTCCAGGTTTACCGTTAAACATAAAAATACCCATTACTCATCTAAATTCCCGTCCCACGAACTAAACACGATAATGTTTAAACAAAAACAAATACCTTGTGCCGAGAGGGAGCAAGAGGAGGTGTTAATGAGTAAACGGAGATGTTGATACTGCGAAACGAAGTGACCCAAGACAGTGAGTTGATTTTGTTGGAGCGTTCCGAGTTAGTCGGTAATGAGTTGAGGAACTGCAACCGCGTTGGTAAAGCCGAAGTAGATATTAACGACGCCATTTCTTTCTCTTTTCCCCCCTACTATTCATTGATTTTTTGTGTATATGGGATTTAATTTTAGCAGAAACTATATATTTAGTCACTAAACTATAGGATTGATTTTATTTTAGTCACTAAACATTTTTTTCAATCAAGCCACCAGCGATTTGATTTATGATTAATCAAGTCATTGAGCATTAAATAGTTAGTGACGAGGCTGACATGATGACTTTCAAAATAATTAATCCTTATTATTTATACACTTTATTAAATTTAGTCATCATTTTAAATAATCTTCCCATTTATGAATTCTATCAATCTCGTCCTCAAACACACAATCATCGTCATCATTATGGTCATCATCAAACGTCTATGGTGGAGTTATGCAGTCTCTTTCTCACTCTCCAACCTCCCTTCTCTATGGATGTCTCCTCCGCTATTACCTTCCACAACCTCCCCAACGTCGATCTCCCTCCACCAACAACCTACCAAGACTCAACGTCTTTCCCTTGACCTTTAATGATCAAAATTTTGGAGTTAATATCTGTCTGTTAGACCTTAAGTTCAGATTAAATTGAAGGAGAAGTTGAGATCAAATCGAGTTAAAAAGAGATATTTTATTAACATTGAAAGATTTGGTGACTTGAAGTGCAACTAACCCATTTATAAAAAAATGAGCTACACCCCAAGTGGTACCAAGATGATTTGGTGTAAAGAAAAATGGGACAAGAGCTAAACATTCCTGTCACATGTTATTCATCTTGTCTATCTTTTCATTTATCTTCTTTCATTATCTCAAAGTTTGATGCTTGGTCATTAAAGCAGCCATATTTAGAGATCATCAAAGTTTTGATGGTTTATGAAGAAAAAAAAGCATCCAAGAGAAAGGGTAAGGGCCAAGATGATTAAGGTTTGGGTATGTGCTGGTGTTTGTTGGAAAATTAGGTTTGTGCATCACCAAATTTGAAATGCCTCACGCATTAGATAAATTTGATGCTTAGGTGTCATGTGAACACTTGAGATTGATCTTGTTTGTCTTAATATAAAAAATTAATTGGATGATTTTGAGTTGTTAGTTCGAACGATCAACTAAAAGTTGTCAATAAGGAGATGCATCGATTATTAAAAAATTTGATCGAAGCTTGAGAAAAATAAAAAGTTGGTGTAATAATTTTAAAATGACTTAAAAAAATTTGTTAGAGATGTTCGAAATAAATATGTGGGTAGCAACTATTTATCCAATATAATGCCTAAATTCTTATACCTGAAGTCCTAAACCAATTGATGTTTCAATCTTCTGAAACATTTTAATTTTTCTTTTCCAAAATGACTAATTTACCCTTTTACACATGTATCAAATAAGATAAAAATAAAGAAAACATAAAATTATAAAACAATATAATAATTTTACTATTTTCAAACTCAAAAAGTCAATTTATTATATAAACCTTATATGATCTTTTACTATTTTTAAATCATCCTTATTATTAGATTTCTTTTTTTCACAAAAGTAAACGTTAGCTTTTAGTGAAGCAATTGAATCAAACGAATTTGTTGGTTCGTATGATTGTATTTTTAGAGATTTTGAGTTGGGCATAATATTTAAGGGTATTTGAATATTTATTTGAATCTTTCGAATAAATATAATATATATCTTATAATCATACTAGACTAATAAAAAAATCGAAAACACATAAAATTTTTCCAAAGTTGAGATTGTTGATAATCATTATTTTTTTATACAAATTATTTGTTTTATCATGTTAACTGTTCATGCCCCATGAAATATTCTTTTTTAGGCTGAAGACAGATAAAACCCTTTTTTTCCCCATTTGCAAATGAACTATTCATTCTGATTAGGCCCCACATTTTCCCTTTTTCACAAATTTATTTTAGTATCTAAATTATCAGTTTTAATTCGTTCTAATATCTAAATTTTTAATATTTTCAAAATCATATCTAAAGTTTAATTTTTGTTTCGTTTTAGTACACGCCGTCAAGTTTTGAAAGAAAAATGAAAGTCTAGGTACCAAAACACATTTAGTACCTAAATCATACTTGAGTTCTGAAAAATTAAAAATTTAGGTATTAAAATGGATCAAGACTGATAGTTTAGGTACTCAAAACATTAAGTTTTTAACGACGAGGTATTAAAATGAAACAAAATGTATATTTTAGGTATGGTTTTGAAACAGTTGAAAGTTTAGGTATTAAAACGAATTAAAACTAATAGTTTAAATACTAAATACATAATTTATCCTTTTTTATTCCGACTATGTTATCTAGGGGCCGTTCATCTCCTCCATAAATTATGTTTGTAGTTTATATTGATTAAAATTGAGTAAAGATTATCTAGGAGCTAAAAGCGATGAACGAGTCTGGAAAAGGGACAGGAAATGAAACTAGAGTCGAAACACAGAATGACAAGCGATTAGAGTCTTGACCTTCTCCGATTCAACTCCGATCCCACCAAGAAGGTACGGTTCAAGGATATAACTGGAGAGACAAACCAGGTTTCGGATATGTTAGTTGATGATCCGGAGAGAAACTCAATGTCTTATACCGCGATATTGGCTGATAATTCCAGAAACGAAACCAATAATGACGGAAACCATGAGGAAGACGAGGAGGATATCGATATAACTGAGGAAGATATTATCACAGGAACCCAATAGGGATTGCCTTCTATCCAGTTTTCTGATCGGGCATATAAATTGATGGAGGCGAGTATGGCCAGAACGGTTGTGTTGAAACTCTTAGGAAGGAATATTGGGTTGAATGCTCTTACCAAAAATCTACGCCCTCTGGAAGCCAACTTAACCTCTCACGATCATGGATCTTGAAAATGGGTATTTTCTAGCAAGGTTTCAGTCTGATGAAGATTATGGTAAGGCCCTAGCTGATGGTCCTTGGATTATCTATGGCCAATACCTAACGGATCAGCCATGGACAAAAGATTTTAGCACAACTCAGGCATACCCTACTATGGTCATTGCTTGGATCCGATTTCCAAGACTTCCCGAATACATGTACAAGAAATCGATCTTATCCAACATTGGTAAGCTAGTGGGAAAACTGGTGAAACTGGATTTCCACAAAACACTAGTAATAGACGAAGATTTGCTAGAGTTTTTGTTTACGTCGACCTTAAAAACCTTTAGTCTCTCGAGTGGTCATTGGAAATAAAATTCAAATTGTAGAATATGAAAATTTGCCTAGCATCTTCTTCTCTTGTGGGAGATTTGGCCATCTCAAGGAAGCTTGCTCTTATAATTCTCAAGAACAAAATGGGAGTGATGATCCTATTGTTGATCAAACCTCTAATCGGAATGTCAAGTGTCAACCTGGCTGCTAGTAGCATGAATACTGTTACAAATCAAAACACAAACAACCTTTCTCCCTTGGAAGAGGATTCCTATGGTCCTTAGTGTTGGGAAATAAACGAATAATTTCCCTATAACCAGATTAGTGAGAATGCGAAAAAAGCAAAAATATACCGAAATTGATAACGAAGTTCAATCAATTTTCTTACGTCTCCGGACTGCTGCAGATCTTTTACTAAAGAGAGAAAATTTACAAGTGTTTACAAAATACTCACAACTCACAAGAAAACTCTCTAGTATAGGGAGAAAGAAATGATTTTTGGGATGATCTTGAAGCTAAATGGGTTAGGGTATTTATAGTTGAAGCTTAAGGATTAATCTTGTAAATACCCTAAAGTGTGCAGGGTCTAAAATATAATTAACCCTATTACATTTTCAATAAAAAATTATTCCACCGAATTCGGTGCATTCGGTGGCCTCCCTGGCCTACCCTTTTTGACTTTACAATCTCCCATTTGAAGATTGATTTTAATCTGTCTTCACACCTCGATCAATGCAGCAACATTTCTGCTCTGTTACTCTAGCATGCCAACTGAAGCTGAACACAACTTCAGTTGTTCGTAGTCACCGTCTTGTCAACATGTTGTCGGATTTTGAGCTCCACTAATCTTTTCAAGTTTCAAAATCTCATATTCCAGAAGAGATCGAATAAAATGATATCTCAATTATATGTACTTCATCCTGGAATGAAAAGACATATTTTTCGCTAGATGGATAGCAATTTGATTGTCACAATACAAGACATTGTTTTCTTGTTTCTTGCCTAACTCTTCCAAGAAACTTTGGAGCCAAACCATCTCATTGTTGGCTTCCGTAACAGCGACATATTCTGCTTCATTGTGGAGAGAGAACTATTTTGTAGTTGAGAAACCCTACTCACTGTAGTTCCTCCTAGAGTATAGACATACCTTGTAGTGCTTCTTCTGATGTCAACATTCTGACTAAGCCAACATCTACATAGTCTGTCAGTATCGTATCTCCACCTTTGAAACAAAGTGCTTTGTTTGTAGTACCCCGCATATATCTGAGGATCCATTTGACTGCTTCCCAGTGTACCTTGCCTGGATTATTTATGTATCTGCTAGCAGCTCCCACTGCATGAGCAATATCTGGTCTAGTACAAACCATGACATACATCAGACTTGCAATTGCTGAGGCATACGACACCTTCACCATGTGTGCACGTTCTTCCTCCATTTTTGGTGATTGTTCTTTGGAGAGTCTAAAATAAATACCTAAAGGTGTACTTACTGGTTTAACATCTTGCATGTTGAACCTGGAGAGTACTTTGTTGATGTACTCAGCCTATGATAACATCAAAGTCCCCAACATTATGTCTCTCTTAATCCTCATCCCAAGAATCTGCTTTGCAGCGCCCAGATCTTTCATTGCAAAATGCTCAACAATTTTGCTTCAAGTTATAATCTCTTGCATGTATGAACCTGCAACAAGCATGTCATTAACGTACAACAATAAAATAATGAAGTGTTGTTGAACTTTTTGATGTAGCAACATGATCTGCTTGACATCTGGTAAAACCACTGCTACCCATGAAGCTATCAAACTTCTTGTACCACTGTCTAGGAGCTTGTTTTAAACCATACAAGCTCTTTTTCAACCTGCATACCATGTTTTTCTTGCCTGC